ATGACATTTACACTTTCTGTCTGTCCTCTTTGAATGCAGAGTCAAAGTTCATTTTAAACAGTTGTTTTGCCTTTTTGCCTGCCTTGGTATTTAGGCTGCAGTAAATCTGAGACTTTGAACCCCTTCTGGCAGAAGTTTGCACTTGCCATGGGGACATCTTGATTTCAGGGAATTTGTAGATCAAGAAAACACAGTCACAGTCAGAGATTTCCATGCACTTCAACCTATCCTTGACTTCTCTGTCTGCTTAGAATATTTTTATGCTGTAACAGCTTCCTTATAAAAGAGAATATTTTGTATTATTACCTCTCAAACACACATCTCCAGTAACTTTGTAATTAATCAACACAATAATGTTGAAAATGGATGACCAAAAAGCATTTCAGTTTTGTCTGATGGACAAAATAAGGAGTCACCATCCAATATATTTTTTGATAGCCAAGTTTATAATCTGCAGTTTGACCTGATGAATGGTTAGGAGGTAGGTCTTTGCCTTGGATGTTGATTATGAAGGGCTGGTGGCTGTGCAGATCTGCTGGGGGAGCTGTCTGGTCTCTGTTGTCACAGGAGGTGGAATGTGCATGCTGCACTGCAGGTTGCTGCAGTGATTGCAGTTTCCTCTGATGTTACATTAATCTGAGCCTGTTCAGAGTCTTAAATACTATCTAATCACAGCAATAGCTAAATAAATAATGAGAAGTGGCTTTTAATGGAACAGATTCTGTATGTATATGTATCACACGCTGGAATTTTGCCCGCAGTCTTATCTTGGACACTAATATTTTGGGAGTTGGTCTTGTAGCCTGTTCCCATTTATCTGTTAGTTCTCTTTTCCTAGTCTTACAAACCAGTCTGTCAAACCAGCAAGGTCAGATGTAAATCTTCATGACTGAGGACTGTGTTGTCTCTTGATTTCAGATTTTACAGATGCTTCTGTTTACAGGTATTATCTTCTTTTACCTCCCGGTGGAACTGAATCCTTTGTGATTGCCATTTCGTTGTCTTAGCTACGATCAAGGAAAAAAAAAGCATCTTTTATGCATATAAACAAACACCAAATCAATTTTCTGCCTTTGCATTTGTCTCTTTCAGGATCTGATCTTAAGAACAAACAAACAAAAACAGGGAAATGGCGTACTTATGGCCTCTTTTAAGCCTGAGGGGGTTTTTCCCAGGTTTTTTTTGTTACAATTGAGATCAATCCATCTGAAATGGTTTTGCTGACCAGTGAATGTATTGCTCACCACTGCTGGCTAGTCCTGGGTCAGTAGGGCTGACAACACCCTCAGACTTGTATTCCATTATCCCCACTGGGGTTTGCTGTACTTTGCATGAGTACTTTGTTCACCAGGATTCCACACTGCCCAGTTCTCTGCATGGAAAGTTTCACCTCGCACGTGGAGTTGTGATGCAGCAGTGAGGGTGGAATTCTGCAGCCATGAACAGATCAAACAGTAACTACTGAGTGCTGGTGCCTATTATAAAACCAGGCACATAAACCAGTACAACCCAATATTTATAAAAAACTTGCTTTCTGCTGCTGTCAACACTTACTAATTACTACTGCAACTATTCATTACTTGCAAATGGCCTTTTTGGGTTTTATTGTAATTAAACCAAGATAATAGCTCCTTATATTCTCTGTGACAAATCCTGATGAATTAATGAACTTATCTCCTCACCTATTTCTCTTCCCTTTAATTTAAGATATTGCATATGATTCTATGTTTTAACGTAGATTTATATCTGCAAAGGAATTTCAAAGTACTGCCCTTGATTTTTACACAAATGCACAATTCCACATCACTGTACAAAGTCTTTAGTTTAGATGTCATTTCAGCAAAAGACTTGAAATAACAATTAGAACTATGACCCATAAATATTGGCTCAAGCCAGTAACTGAAAGCATGAATTGAAGAACATATATAGAACAGAAAACTGTAAATGCTGTTGTGTAAACACAATAAATATATCAATTATTTAAAATATAGTTAAATATATTAGTCTTAAATTTAACTATGGTATTGACTTTCTTGGAAGTCTGTGGAGAGAAGAATTGACTGACATATTTTATAGAAAACTCAAATCCACGTCTTGTACAAGAGCAATTGTTAAAGTAAAAGCAAACAGTATTTTTATTTTCAGTCATTTCACTGGAGAGAAGCTTGCTGTGTACAGGACAGAGACTCCTGCAGAGCTGCAAAGAGCCATCCAGCTGAAAATGCACTTGCAGGATGTTCCTTGGACTCTTGTCTTTTGAGACTCCCATTAATGAAGTCTCAAGATATCATCTCTTTGTTGATATGCTCTCCTGAATAAACATATTTACTTTATTGCTGTTAAAACAGCATGTACTGTCTGAGCAGCAATCCTATACAAATCCTATACAAAATCCTAGTCCAAAACAGATAAGGAAAGTTTATCTTCAGGAATGAGGAACCAAAACAATGATTCAGCACATTTGTCTGTATTGTGTCCCCTGATCTCCTGAAACCACGAGAAAATTTTCACTTGAGTGGACTTCACAGTATGAATGATCCAATGGGATGGATGATATTTATTAAAGTTTTTACAAGTCCAGGAACTTACAAACTGCAGCAAAGACAGAAAGAGTCGAGGACGGCAATTTTCATGATCTGCTGTTAAATTCTATAGTATTTACAAGCTTTCAAGGATTGGGTGCTGTATTTTGAGATGGAGGAATTGGATACAATACATAGCAATGAGTTTCTGCTGGTTTAGCATTTATGTAGATAGCATAAAGAAACAGTAAATGATAAACAATAAATGGCCAATGAAAAGCAATGTATTAGAATATATTGCACGTAAGAGCATTTCCCTTTTCTGAAATGCATATGTGGAACAGCAACCAAGATCTCATGTGTTGGAGAAAATTTCATCTATTAGCTCTACAGCCATCCAAAAGTGATCCAATTACTCTTTATCACACTTTCCCTTTCCAGAGCTCCTTATGTGAGAAGTAATTCCTAAATTTCGGACACCAGATGCTACAGCAAAGTGACATAATCTCAGTAATTACTGAATGTCTTAACATGAGGAAAGATTAGCTTTTCCAGCAGTTCACTTTATGCATATGGCAAATCTTTTAATATTATACTTTTTCTTAGCAATAGGAAAAATGCTAAAACACATCCAGGGAAGGATTGCTGGCAAAGTGCAGTGTCTGTGTGTGTGTGTGTGCATTAATGTGTCACACAGCTGCTTTCTGAGCACAGGGGCTGAGAGAAGCTCCTCCTGACTTAGGTGAACCTCCTGCAAACAACTCCATGTGCTCACTCCACACGTGCCATTTACTATCCACACTCATGCTTTTATTTTCCTAGGTGGTTTTGTCCAAGCCTCTGTGCTATTGGAATGATAATAATTTAATCTTGGTCCTGTGAGTCCAAAATCAGTACAGCTCAGAAGAATCAAAGCCTTGTCAATTATCAGGCTATCACAGTGTACTTCTGGAAGATTTTTCATGGCAGGTACAATATTTCAGGGCTGGTGTTGTGGGTTTTTTAGTTGTTTTTTTTTTTAACAGAATTAGCAACTCAGGTAATTAAGCTTACATTAGATCAAATAAATGAGCTCTGAGAGTGAAGTTAAAAGCCGAAAGTTTGTCAGCCTAATTGTAACAAATTGTTGGCCTGACATACAAGGTTAACAGCAGCTAAAAGCTTAGAAGGGAAAAAAATATCACTCAATCAATGGGGAAATCCTTTAAAGAAAAGCTTTGCTGGGCTTGGGTGTATGAGGGAAGCAGGGCACTCACCAGAGGACAAAGAAAAATTTTGACTTGATATTTAAGAGCCTTTAAAGATTATAAAACCCCCAAATGTATAAAATTTAATTAGAAGCTAATGATTTGGTGTTGTGGGGAGCTGAAGGGAGCAGAATTGGGAATGGTTTGTTTGAAATGACCTTGCTGTCAGGGTTTCACATAAGCTGTTAAATGCATGCAAAGAACTGCCACAAAATCAATGAAATAAAACATTGCAGTGGTCCAGTATGGAAGCATAAATTACCATTTTAATTTTCAATCAATAAGAAAACAGATATCCCTGAAGCAGTAAAACATGACCTGCACACAGATCTTTATTGCAGGATGAAAAAGAAAGCAACAGATATCCATAAAACTCTCATAAGTATTTCCAGGAACGATACTAGCTGTACAAAACAGGCAGAACATTACTGGTAGAGTATAATAAGCTGATCTGCTCCTGATTGGGAATATCTGCTCACAGAATAAAGCAACTTTCTTCATAGCTTATCATTTTGCAAAGCTTTTTGACAGCTGATTTTAGAATTTGCATTGGATGTCCTTGTTTTGTTTTGAAGTTTGTGGGTCTGAGTGGAATTTGTAAAAATCGTCTGGTTTAGCCCTGAGGAGGTGTCAGGATGGTGGTGCCCAAAAGGCACTGAAGAGGGAAATCAAGTAGCACAGAGAACTTTATTGTAGGCCACAGTTTTACAAGTATTTAGCCTTGATTTTTGCCATAATTATTAGTTTATGATAGTGTTTCATGCCTTGTTTGAATGAGTTAAGTAGAGCATTTCTGTTGAGAAGGGAAACTTATTACAGTTTCAGTTTGAGCATGAAAGTAAAGGAGCTTGAAAATCCAGCCCACTGATACCTTGAGTTTAACTTCAAACCTTATTTTTAGGACAATGTTGAATAAGTTTGAGTTGCTTTTGCCTGTGTTTCCAGATGGTCATCACACAGTTTGAAATGCTTTAGTCACTTGGCTTAGACTGAAAGGCTTTTCTGAGCACCCAGTGTTTGATTTTGACTGGAAGTAATTTAATGTCTGAATCACAGCCACAGAGATCTGAAACTGAGCAAGTTTTCTACACGTGCTGTAAATTGTAACACCATTGTAAGCTATTTGCTCATCTCCTAAATTCTGTTTTCAAGATACCCATAGAGGCATAAAGCAATTAAGTAAGACAAAAGTTTTCAAATTCACCAGCAATCCTGATTAACTGTACCTGCAGCTCCTGCAGTTTCCAGAGAATCCAGCCCCTACAACAGGTTGTTCAGTTCAGTGGCAGCAGCTCAATGGGATGATGGAATCAATAGATTTTTATTCATGTTAAACCAGTGAAAAACATTTGTGGCAGGGGTTCAGGATCTCCAAAGGACCGGCTGGTTAGCAGGACAAGGGTGTCTTGGTGAGATAATTTAGGTAAATAAGGCTTTGTGGGTTAATAATGGGGCTCTTAGTTTTGTACTGTATGATTATTTATATATTATAAAGCACCTCATCAGTATGAATTTTTTTCACAGAATTTCAGATTTGAATGAAACCAGAATGAAAATGAATGCAAGTTATTTCCATTTATCTGATTTTTGCAGCAATTCTATCCAACCGAGAAGTTAGCATAATTTCTTTTCTGAGACACAAATCTGCCCAAATGAAACAAATCAGTCATAAACTCACTGGAGGGTTCAGTGTCTCTTCCTGACTTTGTAATGAAGCTCAAAACAGAGAGACAAAGATGCATCCATCATACCCTGGAATTCTACCTATGAAGGGATTGTGTGACTGTGCCTCCAATGGAATCCTGTGACCTCTTGTTTCTGTCACTGAAAAAGTCCTTTCAAGAACTTCATGTGCACATTTTTGAAAATTGTATCTTTACAGAGCAGAATAAAGCTTATGTAATTTTATTGTGAGCTGGTTTCTCCAACTTAGCAGTGCGATAATCCTAGAATGTAGTTTCTGCTGCTAAATTCTTCCCATCTTCCTTCCTAGGATAAAACAAGGTACCTCTTTACCAAGCATGTTATTTATGAAAAAAAGAACAGATAAATAAGTGGTGAAACAAAACTTTTAGAAATTTTAGGGAGGAATTTTCAAACCCTGAAGTGAATTTTCTTTTTATATTATTGATTTTATGATCACTTTTCCAGTATCTTTTACCAATTGGCTAACAATATCCACATCAATGTAATCTTGTGTATTTAAAATTTAGCTTGGGTTTAGTTTAGAATCTATATTTAAAAAGAATATAATGTTAATTGTAGCAAAAGAGACAAAAAAACAAGGTTGAAATAACAAAAAATATATCCTTTCCTGTTTCATTTGGTGTCCTATTAGTTTCGTATCTTTGTAACTTTTAATATTTGTACTTAGAAAAATACCATCAATGTGCCTTAAAAACCATGGGACACAAAGTTAGTATTTGCATTTTGCTGAATTTCTACATATGAAAACAGCCTTCAGGTTTCTGTGAGTGATGTTTTTTCCCACAGTATTTCGTAAATGTTGAGAAGTATTCCATCTTCTCTCTGCAGTGGTATTAACAAATGTGGTTTGGAAGGTAATTTTGTCCATGTTACTGGCAAATGTGTGATTTTTCTACCCTTCCCAAGCAGCCCTCTCATGTCCTATGCACGTTAACTTTAATTATCTCTCCTTGTCAAATAATTTCTAAGGCTTGATGTGATACACAGCCATACATGTCTGATGCCAGGAAGTTTCTAACCCTCTTTTTTCATTAATCTTCATAACTGCAGTAATTTCCTGCAATTAATAGAGTGACTGAGAGACAAAAATCCAATCACCAGATAGAGAGCTCTTCAGCAAGTTAAATGCAGTTTGTTGAGTAAGTATTTAAACAGCTGCTAATAAAATCTCAGGTCCATTGGGAATTACCTGTGTTAACACATGGATATACTGAACTTTAGAAAAGGATGAACTTCATGCTCTTCTTTTCAAAGTAAAAAGAAACAGAGGTGGAAATTGCATATCAATTTAAACAGAATATTGGGAGGCTGGGCATGAATATATTTTATAGATAGATATTTACATCATTTTTTTACATTTTATCTCTCAGATTTTATCTTAAAAATTGACAGAGCTAGCAAGTGTTCATACAAAATGTGGATACTAGTGAAAATACACTTGCAAAACCTCTCTACAGATTGTAGGATTACTTGCTCTTCATTGACACAAAGAAAAAAAATTAAAAATTGAGGGTTGAAGAGTAGGGATGATTTGGCTGGATTTCACACTACAGCAGGGAACAAGTTTACCCATTTATGTAAATTCCATTGAATTGAAGCTTCTACATGGGAATGAAGGAATGTTTTCAGTAGTTTAAAAAAAAGAAAAGTTCAGTGTCTTCATGAAGAAATGAAATGTTGAGCTAACACGAGCTGGTTTTCAGGCCATGAACAAGTTCAATCTCTCTCTTTCATCAGCAGGATGAGTCTCTTTGTGCACACGTGTTCACAAGAAGTTCTCAGTACTCATGGCCAGTGTGTGCTGTGGCTTTCCCCAACAAGCATTAAAAGGGGATTTTTTTATTAGGAATTTATTATTTCCATAAATGCATTTATTACTTATTATTATTAAAATAATATATATAATTATATATAAAATTATATATTATACATTAGATATTATTTATATATTATATATAATATAGACATTATATTATTATTATAAAATTTATTATTTTTTATTTATTAGGATTTTATTATTTCCATAAATGCATTGCAGAACTCTCTCTGCCTTGTGAAATTATGGAATAATCACACATCAGGTTTCTGGTTTGGGAAAGAAAGATTGCCGTGCAAATATTCCAGTGTTCAATATTCCAGTCTCCAGAGACTGGAAAAATCATTTGTTGTAAAAAGTAGAGGTATGAGGGAAGTGTTATGAGGTGTCAAAAACAGTTTGCAGCTTTTCCTTGGCAGCAGAGTTTTTCTGGGGAACTTGTACAGTCTGTTCTGTCCTTTCTTCTGCAGTCAAGTGAATTCTCCCTTTGCCTAAAGAGATTTTCTACTATTTTTGTTATGCTTGTAAAATTAAATAATTCTTTTGTATAAATTGCTATTATTTAGTTTCAATTACTAATTCCAAAATCATATTTGGAATCATAATGCTTCTCAACTCTATTTCCTTAACAGCCCTACCTGAATCTCCCAGGGAAACATAAATAAACCTTATAATGGATTGGTATCAATGCTGTTCCTGGAGATACACATCAGGTAATCTGGCTTTAAAGCCAACTGCTGTGAGAGGATAACAAGGGACCATTGCATTCTCAATCTCTAATCCAGACCTTGGTCAATTAGCAGGGTAGATGCAGTGCATCTAAGCTGATTTTACCTATTAGTTGTTTAATCTATGACTTTTAGGTCAAAAGAAGCCTAGACAAGATTTTGGTCATGAAAAACCAAATAACAAGAAAAGGGGATGCAATTTTTAATCTTTGTGTAATTTCAAACCCAGTGTTTAAAATAGGAGCAGGGGGAGACTCCCATTGAGCAGCTTTCCATGTAAGGTATTGAGATTAGTTTTAGGTTCTTACAGACCAATTATAGATGATAATTTTTCTTCAGGAAAAGAAGCAAATAAGCACAAAGAATGAGATGCCCATGTAAGAATTAGGACTCTTCTTGGTGCTCCTGGTGGGAATAGTAATATGAAATACTTTATTTTAGTATTTATTTAGTATTTTAGTATTTAGTATTTATTTAGTATTTTAGTATTTAGTATTTATCGAGTATTTTAAAATGGAACAAATTCCCCTTCGAACCTAAAAATTACAAAACCTCTCTCAGTGTTGTATTTTTATGTTCAGTAATCATTTGATACAAGATGCAAAGTTACTTCCTATAGATTTCTGAGTGTGTATATGTATTTCATCTGGTATATTATATAGCGAAAGACAACTGGGATCAAACATTTGACATTACATTCAGCTGTTATTTCTGATATAGAGTTGTGTCTGTGTAGAAAACACTTGTGGAGAGAAAGAGTGCAGTGAGATAGTGTCATCCAGGGGTAGTGCTGTCTAGTTTGTTAAAAAGAAACTTCTGTATTTTTTCTGTTTCCTGTCTTGGAAAAAAATACAGTATGTGTATCTAATTTGAGGCAAAGTAATTTACATTTACTTTGATTTTTTTCCCTTGTTGTTCTTTGAGCAGTCTGACACACTGAGTACTGATGAGCACATTGGACTCCTGGGTTTTATTTCCTGCTCTGGCTCCTAAAGAAATCTAGCCTTTATTGCTAATTTAACCTCTTACTATTACTCATTCTTTGTGAAATACTACTGGGGTTTCAAAAAAAGAAACAGAAAGAAGTGCTAGTAAATTTGAGAGCAGCATTTACTTGAAATTGAGTTCTAACTCCTAATAATCCAAAGTGAATTTTAGAAATTTCAGTTCTATAGTCCAGCAATTATTCAGCTATCTAAGATGTCTCAGTATGATAAATGAGATCATCTGATGTTTACAGGGCAAGTATTCAAGAAAAATGGAAAATGCAAATCATTTGATTATTTGTGTAAGTTCCTACAGGTGGCTTGTTCTGGATCACTGAAAATAAAATGTGTTTAAAGGTAGTTGTGCACTCCTGTACTTGACTGAATCCAACACCTCCCCAGAGTCCTTTTATGTTGGAGCATTGGAGAGTCTTTCCATAAAGGCGCAGTCCAGCCCCTTGATGCTGTTTACATGGAAAGAAGGGATTTCTTAGAGCCCTGCACAGCTTCCTGGGTTTGCAACAAATATGTTATTTTGCAGAAGAGTATTTACTCATGATGTCCAGCATAATCCCTTCTGCATAAGGTACTTAAATAAACCATAGGTCTTAATTATTTGATAGGATTAAATTTCATTTTTTTCCTTTTTTACCTTTACATGAGTGATGGAAGAAATATCAGAGTCGATGTTTGCAGAGGAATGCAGGTCTATAACATCTTGCCACTGTGCCAAAGCTTTTCTGTTATTTTTTGTTACTGGAGGTTTAGCTTGGAGAAGGGAGGGTTCCCTTTTTTTTTCGGGGGGAAAGAAATGGATAGGATTATAAATCTACTTTAATCACAACTTGCAAAAGTTTGGTGTCCTTTGAGTGAACAGATGGAAATATATATTGCCACTCTAATGCAGAGAGTGTCCAGAGCAGCTGAATATTTATGTAAAAATCAATCTTATGCACAATATTCACTGAAAAGATGAAAGAATAGGAATTTCTATCTAAGAGATACTGATTCCCACATCTTACACAGTCTTTTTTGAAAGAAGAAAGGGAGCATTAATACAAAATTTCTGCCTTGCTGCTCAGTTCCATCACGTGTGATATGAGTGTATTTGATCAGGTGAATCTCCCAGAAGAAACTCATAAAGGAGCAGCGGTTCCCTGTGAAATAAATACAACTTCTGATGTTTTGGTGTTCACTTTCTTGCTCTGGCAATGCCAGGACAGCTGCATCTGGCCAGACCAGTGGCAGCCACCTTTGAACAGACCGTGTTCACTTCAGGAAAATACACCTCTGCTTTTAGTAGCACCATTCATTAAAGAGAAACAATTTACTTGTTCATGATTCAGGGTCAAAATTTAAAAGCATTATTATTTTTTTCTTTTTAAGTGAATTATACTCTGTGACAATGGTGGCTGCAGTTACACATTTAATTAGATTTACTGTGAAAAGAACATATCAGCTTAATAAAGTGGATTTATGGTTTAAATTTGTTCTTAATTTTGAGGGGTTTTTTTTAGAAATTGATATATTTTTGCATTTGTCAGTGTCATCACCACATGATGACATTTAGTCAACATTTAATTCGAAGTTAACTATACTAACAAAGTTAGTTCTAGCTTGTCTCAAAGAAATGGTAAGATTTAACTTAGGTTATGTGAGTATATTTATGTG